AAGCGCTATTGAGAGTGCAGTGCATTAGTGCCATGGTCCTATTTGGAAAAAATAGAGAACTTGGATCCACAATGCAAAGTTTGAAACTAATCCGTTTATATTAAAACAGAAAGACAACAAACAAATTGTCTACAATGTGATCTCTAAAAATAAATAGACAAGGTGGTACAAAAGAAGGCCAATGGCTGAAAGTACAGAGAGCCCAATTCTCAAGAGTTTTTTTGCTCCTTTACTTGTGTTTTTAGTAAAGGGTGTGCTTATAAGTGAGAGTTGAAGCTCAAGAAACCAGAAATGATTAAAACTCAAGACTCATTCCATATAATTAAGAATCCTAACACCTTCTCAATAGGTCAAATACTTGCATAGTTCTACTTATTTTCTAGGAAGAAAACTGCATAGAAATTTTGAAACTTGTGAAGTTGAATTTTCTTTTGGCAAAGCAACAATAAGAATTTGGTACTGTCAACAGTAAGAATTTGGTATTGTCAACAGTAAGAATTTGGTATACTATTGGATTGCTCATACCATTATGGCTTTACACTATTGGATTGGAGAGGTTATTTGGTGGTCTTAGAGCAATGCATCACATAACACTCGTCAGGTTGTCTCTTCAAAACCAACACAAAAGTACTAGGCTCTACTGTTGTAACCAATAAAAATCAAATTGGGACATCACATGGACTTGCCCAAGGCCGCCAAATAATTTTCCATTGAATTGTAGTCAAATTATCATAACTTGACTAGCAATCCAATAGTGTAGTCATGATGGCTTGACTTTTAGTTTAAACATTTGATAAAGTATGAGCAAAAATAGGTCATTTATTTTTATTTTTTTGACGTCTTGAGCTACTCTTGGCATATGACTTTCAAATTAGCATGGATGAAAAGAAACTAAACGATAGGGATATATACCAATTTTTTTGAGACATTTCAATTGTCTTTAGACTTGTGTTTTTTTGGCACCACAGCTCTACTTTCTTAATATATGGAGATTATCAATAGGAGGGGGAGATGGACCTGACTAAATAGTTCAGTAACTAGCACTCAAATATACCTGGTTTAGAAGGGTCTGAGGAGATTGAAATAGGTTTCATACGATGGTGATGACAATGATGTCTTGGCAAGTTACTAGTGTTAGGGCCAACAACAGGACCTAAAAGAGGAGTTTCAACATCAGGGAGAAGTCCTAAAAAGAGAAAGAACCACAGACACACACATGCCCACATATACACACAAAATTTGATTATAAAATTAGTTACAATTTTGAAATTCACATCATGTTAAAAAGTTTTGCCTAATTTCGTAATTGTTTTGTCTACTTCTCTACAATACTCCACGAATCCAGCTATCTCTGGTTTGCGGTCAAGTTTTTTGATTTTTTCTTTTTTGTTTTTGGTTTGGATTGTTTATGGGGTCTATCAGTATTTGTTGTAACTTACCTACTCTGTGATTGTACCTTATGATCTATCTTAGACATGTTCTTCGACCGATTGACTACACTCTGCTTTATAGTACTAGCATAAACATGAGTTGTGCGTCTGGGTATCTTCATAGATTTACTCATGTGTGTTTCTTGATTTTATTTTTTCTTTGTTTAGTGTCAGTTTATTAGTTGAATGGATTCTTTTCTGTATGTGTCGTTTGGCTTCATTAATGAAAATTTCTTTATGATAAAAAAAAAAAAAAAAACACCCAAAAATGTCACAATTCAAATTTGAGCCATCTATTTGTGTGGCTCAAATACATGGTTCAAATTAATTTGTGCTTAAATAGAAGGTGAAAATTGATCATAGATTCACATGAAATAAGACCTACACATTTAGGCTGAGTTTGGGATCAACCTAAAAAAGACATTTCTTTTGACACTTTTTTTTCTTCAAATTTTTTTACAAAAAAATAAAAAATAAAAATTGTGACTAATTTTTATTTTTATTTTTGGTCTATCTAGTATAGAAGGATAAAAAAACTGAGGAAAAAAAATTACTAAAGCAAAGAAAAAAAAATTTAAAAATTTAAAGATTATTTTCCAGTTTTATTTATTAATTTTTTATTTTACTTTTTTTGGTCTGCCTAGTAGTACCAAAAAGTACGAAACTTTTTCGAATTTTTTTTTAAAAAATTATGAAAGGAGAAAAAAAAACTAGGGAAAATTACAATTCAGTCCTAGTTTCTAGAAAATAATTTCAAATCGGTGAAAAAGTTTATAATTGTAATTATTACTATTTAAAAAAATTATTATTAGTAATTATTTTTTACAAATATTATTGATATGATATTTCTTTAAAAAATTATTGACTAAAAAGGTTATTATTAGACAAAAATAGCCTAAAATAGGTTAAAATAGTAAAAAATCACTATAAATTATATTATTATTATTATTATTATTATTATTTTATTATTATAAAAAGTCAAAAACTAATTAAAATAGTCAATTTCTAAACAAGCTCCACCCCATAGGCCTATTTTGGCAATTAGAAAAAAAAAACCAATCAGTGGTGATAGATCCCACTAAAAATGGACCACTAAGCCAGCTCTAATGAGCTGGCAGTCTAGAAAATAAAAAAAAAAAAAACAAAAACAAAGAGCAAAATATCAAATCAATTAGGGGCACAGTATTTTTAGAGCTATTAGAGCTCATTATTTTAGTGGTCTCAAGCAATTTTCAAAACCAATTTATTAGCTCATTTGGATCACATCACTTCTATACTTTTTTGCATATCTTTTTCAAAAAAAAAGTCAATAAGTTGGCTTTTTCCTAATTTCCAAAGAGACTTTTTGGCTAAAAAAGTCAAAAAAACGAAAGTTAAGTTAAAAAGTCAATAAATTCAACTCCATTAAAAAAAAATTACACCTTACATATCAATCAATCAGTTTTTTTTTCCCACAATTATCTATTAAATTTAAAAATTTATTTTTAAACACATCAATTTTTTTCAGCAAATAAAAAAAGGAAAAAAACTAAAAAATCACTTTAAAAAAAGGGTAAATCATAAATATACCTATTGAGATTTGTTTAAAATACGAATTGTCTCATGTGGTTTTGAAAAATTACATCTCGTCACTTGAAGTTTCTAATTTCATTACAAATAAATTATCAACTCAATCAATGGTTTTTAATGATTTCAGAAATTTATTTCAATTAATAATTCAAATAATTTTATTATTAGGAAAATGTTATAAATTTTATTTTTTCGGTCAATTTTATTAACAAAAAAATGAGATTTTTAGTTTAAGATCCTTGATATTATGATTTTATAAGATTAATGACATATAATATTTTCATAGTAATTGTGAGTCCCTCAATTTTTCAATAAAAATTTTCTGCACAAAAGAAAAATTGTACAAAGAAATTTCAACTTCATAGGAAAATTTAAGTTCGTCATTGAGAAAATTTCTCTAATAATATTATTAAGAGACCTTAACTAATAAGAAAAATGATAAATTACAAATGCACCTCTGAGGTTTGTTTAAAATACAAATTGACCTCTATGGTTTGGAAAATTATAAATATTCCTTTGTCAGAATTTTTTATTTAACATAATTAATTAAAAAAATAAAATTTCTAACTTCTCTCCTATATAATAATAAAATTAACTGAATTATTAATTGAATTATTTATTTAACATAATTAAAAATTATAAATTGATTTGATAATTTATTAATAAATGAGGTCATTTGTTATGAAATTAGAAACCATAGTAGGTGGGATGTAATTTCTAGAACTACAGGGACAGTTCGTATTTTAAGCAAAGTTTATGAGGTGTGTTTATAATTTATATTAAGAAAAAACATATTGGACCTCTTCCATTACCAAAAGTTGGAAAGTGATGTGTTATTTATTTTCTCTAGAAAAATTTTACGAATGAATATTAAGGGTGGGCAACGGTTTATCCGAACCGCTCAAATCGCCCAACCCGCATATAAATGGGCAGTTTCACAAACATAATGCAGGCAGATGCGGTTTGAAATATGATAAATTTGTGGGTTGCGGGCGTGTCGCGGTTTAAATCCGCAACCCGCAAAAACCGCCCGCACTTTAATTGTTATTATTATTATTATTTTTTATATACCAACTTTGTAACTTTTACAGGAACACCATTATATTCTCTATGACACTAGGATCCTTATTTTTAAGTATTTCTCAACTTTCATAATGCCGTAGAATTATTAAGTCCTAAACTTAGTTTCTTATATGATTTTTGTTGGTGATTCATCCACTTTTTCCTAATAAAATTTTCATTCTGGTGGTCGATGGAATTTCTAATTTGATTATTGATTACTGAACTGACAATTCTAATTGAGTACAACCTTTAATGCATTGATATACATTTTTTTCATGGCAAAGATGCTAGTATAGGGTCTCTTTGTTTTGGGTACTTTCATTTAATGCATTGATATTCAATTTTTATTTGTAAACTCATCAGAAAATTGTTATCACAAATATATAAAATGAATCTGATGCCTAAATTCGTTGGAAAAAAAAAAACTCGAAATTAATTTTTAAAGAAAAAAGTGTAAACCGCAAACCGCCCGCAACCGCCCGCACATTGACAAACCCTATCCGCACAAACCGCAAACCGCACTGCGAGCGGTTGCAGATTGACTTTTTCCCAAACCGCATAGATGCGGGCGGGTCAAAATCGAACAGGAAACCGCACAAAACCGATCCGCGAACACCCCTACTGAATATTTATAATTTTTTAAATCACAAAAAATATTTTGTATTTTAAATAAATTTTGGATGATGTATTTATAATTTATAATTTACGCTATTTTTTTATCTGAACACCGTCAGTAAATAGTTTTTTAATATGAAGATCTCTGCACTTCCTAGGAGGCACACAACACAACACAATCCATACACAGATTAATTAATATATGAGTAAAGACAACCTCTATATTGAACATGACATAAGCCACCACATCGCAAGGCAACCAAGTCAATTTCAAGTCCCCACTTCTCTCTACTCATTGCAGGTTTTAGGTTTATCTCTCTCTCAGATCACCAAGTTACCTTATAAATACACTCTTTTGGATTCCATCTCTCTCTCAACCTGTAACATGGATGTCAAGATGGAGCCTGAGAAGAACACGACTGAAAATGGAGAGGACCAAGAGAAGAAAGAGCTTCAAAACAACAACAAGAAGAAGAAGCTTGGAGGGATGAGAACAATGCCATTTATCCTTGGTGAGTTCTCTCTCTCCCTTAATTATAATCGATAAAAGAGAAATAGAAGAGGGGTAGTTTTTTTGCAATGATAAAACTCGAACTTAAACATTATGTATGGTTAGCAGTACCTTGGTTTTATCGTCGGGGAGTTCGCATTTTCGTGTTCTAGCTCAAATTTTTGTTCATTGTTTTACCTTGTTTAAATCATATATTGAAATGTTTGGCAAATGACTTTTTAATAATTTTTTAATTATTTATAAAAAGACATGTAAAAAGATAGAGACATAACTTAATAAATTATAATGAGTTTTTAACATTTTAGATAAAAATCAAGATTTCCAAATAAAACCTTCGCTAAGCATGGCTAGTTTGGCATTCAACTTTTAGAGTTATGGTGATTATTGAGTAGTTTTGGAGTATGAACATGTAATACTCCATGATATTGTAAGTGGAAAGATGAAGTATTATATTGAGTGATTGAAAAGTATAAAAGAATATAATAAATGATGATTATTGATTAAAAAGTGTGAACATGTAATATTTTAAATATTTTTTATAATTTTCGTTGAGGGTATTTCATACCTCCCATTATTGTTTAATTTGAGTCCTTGGATACTTTTTTCGGTTCTTATGAACGCAATTATTAGCTAGCATTTTGGTGTTGTTTTCTTTTTATTGTATGTGAATGCTTATTTCCACTTCATATGCTTGGTTTAAAGTTTTGATTCTTTGAATTTATACATTTTTCAATCAATATATACATTTTTATTTATGTATTTATTTTACTTATTTCTTTCTTAAGTTATTTTACTTATTTCTTTCTTCTATAAAATTTTATTTTATATTGATGATGTTGTGGTATTGGCGTTATGGGTATGACTTCTTGTACTTGCTTATATAATTGATTATTTAATTTAATATAATTTTCTTAATATGTATTAATTCCTATCAATTGACAAGGTTTTTTTTTAATTTTTTTATTTGTTTTTCATAAATTTCTATCAATCAGATGGATTGCATTGCTAATCACTAGAGTGGTCCTAGGAGTGTAAATTTGGCATGGTCTGGCTTATTCGGGCCTGAGCTCGGCATCGGGTCGCCTCATGTCGAGCTCCTTTGGCCCCCGAAAAAATTCAGGTCGGACCAGCCCACGAGCCAGAAAACTAGGCCTAAGGAGTATTCGAGCCTTAGGTTGGCGAACCGGGCCTAGGCTCGAGTTTGGGGAGTCGTCGGTCAAGCCTAACCATTTTTTATTTTTTCACAATTTTTTTTATACCAAAAATGACATTGGGCCTTGGGCTGGGCCTTGGCCAATCCTTGACTAGAGCGGGCCAATGGTCCAAACCACGCAGGTCGAGCTAATGGGATGGGCCGGACTGTAAAACAGATGGCCAAAGTCCAAGCCTAAGGTCTCGGACTAGGCTCAGGCCCGGGTCAAACCCACTTGGGACACAAACAAGCTTCGAACAACCCATGAGCCCACGGGCTAATTTTACACCTCTAAGTGATCCAAAACAACTTTGTGAGTTAGGTATAGTTTTTTTGAGTGTTATGTTGTCGTATTCTTAGTGGTTGGATTGGTTTAGGAGGTGGTTAGTCATTGTTATGTTGTGATTTTTTGCTCTCCTATTTACCAACTTTGTTATTCAATTAAAAAAAAAAAAAAAACTTTGTTTAGTTGGTGTGCGCGCTTAAGTTCACTCGGATATTTGGTTATAAAAAAAATATGTTTTTTTAATAATAATATTATAATAATTATATTTAATTTATCATATTTTGGTTAGAAAAATATTATATAAATAACTTTTTTATTAATTTTTCCCAATCTAATACGTAATGTAATAGTAAAACTTTGGAACGTGAAACAAATCCATTGAATTTGAATGATAGGAACAATTCATTGTGACATAGTAAGTTTGTTAAAATAAAAATAAAAATGAAAAAAAAAAGAAAAAGAAAAGGAAAGAGAGCTAAAAAATGCTATGAATTTTACAAAAAAAATGGAAAAAAAGAAAAAGAAATTGAATGCTAACTTATAGGACACGTATCACATTATTGATATGAGTCCTCTTTCAAATTAAATTTTTTTTTTTATTGCATAATGCAACAGTAGGTAAGAAAAGTTTAGGAGATTTATTAGGTTGTATAATATTACTTAAATTTTTTATTTGTATATCATTATTCATTTGTTTGCTATCTTATGTGTCAATTTTATATTGGACATAAACATAAGTGGTATGACTTATTATACCAATGTAAAATTAATATATGAAATGATAAATAACTGTAATGCGTTAAGAACATATGATCATTGTAAGACCCATTGTTGTTGTTGTTCTTTTGATTTTTGATTTTTAAATTTTGTTTGGGGTTAAGGATTTGTTTGGGATTCATTTTAGATGTGGCAATCACATGCAACACTAATATAATTACGTTATAACTTTTCTTGAATTTTCTTTTAAATGTTACCTAACCTAATTCGGATATACTAATTTTAAGAATTTTTTTTACTCCTTATTAACTCGTCGTAATTCTTTACTTTTAAATTAATAGAAATTTTTTTTTTTGCCAGTACTTTTTATTTATTTAGTGGCAATCACATGCAACACTAATATAATTACGTTATAACTTTTCTTGAATTTTCTTTTAAATGTTACCTAACCTAATTCGGATATACTAATTTTAAGAATTTTTTTTACTCCTTATTAACTCGTCGTAATTCTTTACTTTTAAGTTAATAGAATTTTTTTTTTTGCCAGTACTTTTTATTTATTTATAAATTTTATAATTTTCACTTGGAGCAAAGTGTATAAAATAGGTACATTTTTCATATAGTGTTTGATGAGGGGTCCATTTGTTTTGAAAATGACTTTTGTCTATCAATGAACAGCCTTTATACATTTTCTTTTCTTTTTTTTCATCCTCAGTTTGGCACTCATTGTGATAATCTCAATTTTTTAAGCAAAAATCTTGTTTGTTTTTGTTTGTATGTTTGATATTGATGAGAAATCAACATAATCAATCAAGTATTTTTCTCAATCATTCACTACTGTCTTCTATACACTTTTAATCTACTATTTTTGTAAAATTTTCAGTAGAAGAATAATTATAAATATAAAAAATATTACTATTAAAGCATATATAGAATTATTTTTCATATTTGTTAGATTTTCATATTTTATAGATTTCTTTATTCTCATGATTTTTTAATTAATACTTCGTATTAGGGGTGGGTATAGGATTATCTGAACCGTTCAACCCGCCCAACGCAAACCGATCCGCATACAAATAGATAGTTTCGCAGACACAATACAAACTGATGAGATTTGGAATATAGTATAATTGCGAGTTGCGGGTGCGTTAAAACCCACCTACACTTAGAATTTTTTTTTTTTAATAAAAAAATTCATTCATCCTATCGTAGATATTTTTGGCCAACGCACCAAACCCTAATTTCATGATACAAAAAGAAATGTTATAGAAAACATTGTTTGTGAATATTGTTTTTGAATGTTTTTGTTTTTGTTTGTTCTGTGAACATTGTAGAAAATTGAATCTACTTCTTCATGGAGGGGAAATTGAATTTGTTAATTACTTTTGAAATTAAAATCAATCTTATATTATATTGAATCTAGAAATTGAAATTGAATTTGGAAATTAAAAAAAGTTCAATCCGCAAACCGCCTGTAATCGCTTGCACATCCGCGAATCCTATCCACACAACCCCCAACCCGTACTGCAGGTGGTTGCAGGTTAAATTTTTTCCAAACCGCATAAATGTAAGTGGGTCTAAACCGATCCGCAAACCGTCCAAAACAAACCGTGAACACCCCTACTTTGTATAAGTCTTATATATAGGTTACCTCTTATAATCTTTACACACAATAACACAATATAGAGAGATTCTCTCTCTCTCTCTCTCTCTCTCTCTCTCTCTCTCTCTCTCTCTCTCTCTCTCGTTAGACAATTATCTTAACATATAAGGCTTGTCTTCCTGGTTTATCGACGAGCGACTTAGTTGGTAACCTATGCCAACAGCCTCCATCATCGTCCAACCCTAGCCTCCTTCAATCGCTCAAAATCTATTCTTTTTCTACTTTTGCGCGCGCGCGCACACACACACACACACTCACTCACTCACTCTCTCTGTCTCTCATAGTTCTTTTCATTTCAACCTCAAATAAATTACTATTTTCTAACCTATTTGAGTTTGAAAGGAGGGAATATACTCATGCCATGGTGAGTATGGTGATATACTATGCGAACTACCCAAGCCGCCCTCGGTACCCCTCCTATGCCTTCCATGGTACAATCACATATGTCACTCCCTGGTGCACCACATTCAAGCTCCTATAAGAGCCCATCACATCAGTCACCTCTTAAAGCCCCTCTCACGGTGAACACACCATTCAACATCACCCTTAGTAGGCCTTCTCATGGTGAACACGCCATTCAATTGCCCCTAACAAGCCTTTATTATTTGCCTTAATAACAGATTCTTCTCAATCGCCCTTAACAGGCCATTATCGTTTGTCCTAGTAGCAGACTTTTCTCAATCACCCTTAGCAGGCTCTTTCATTTGTTGTACACGACAAACTCTCATTTTCTCATTTATTTTGTTTGTTTTTTTCTTTCAAACTGGTAGTTTACGTTTGAGAGAGACTATTAAAACATATCTACAATATATTATTTTTCATATTTGTTAAGTTTCCATATTTCTTTTGATTTCATTATTCTCATAGTTTCTTGATTAACAATTCATATAAGTCTTATATATAGACTATTACTTATAATAATTATAATATTAATATTCAATATACAGAGATTCTCTTTTATTTTTTCTCTCTTTATACAACTATCTGAACAATTACATCAAATTAGCTTAACTAAAGTCCAACAAAAGGTAGAAGGCCTAACAGTTACTAACCCTAACAATCACCACTAGCCTAAATTAGGGAATAAATAAACAACCTATACAATTCCCATATTAGAAAAAATAAAAAATAAATAAAAAATATCAAATTTCTCTCTCTAGAAATTGAATTTATAATCTCGTTTTTGGGTGGACATAAATTTATAATCTCAAAGCACATGACTAAACGAAAAGCCTGGTTAAATAACTACTCCAACAACTATTTACTGTTATTATTGTTATTATTATTATTTTCAAACTTGAAATTAATGGTCCGGCCCACTCGGTGTTAATGGTTGCCCCACAAACAAATGGAGTTTAAACAGAGAAGATGTCGAATTATTCTCTTTGTGGGTCAACCCAAAGCCCACTATTGACTTAATTCTGGAAATTAGGTTTTTAGTGGCGTTTAAAAAATGACGCTATAGCTATCAAAAATGCTGCTAATTGTTTTTGTGGCGTTTAATATCAAACGTCGAAGATCCGGCCGTCGCTATAGCTTTATGACGCTTTAAAAGCGTCGCTATATTTTAGTAAAAACGCCGCCAAATGTCTTTTAGTGACATTTTCAAAACGCCGTCATATCTTTTTTAAAAAATTAATTTTAAAGTTTTGGTGGCGTTTCTCAAAACGCCGTGATATCCTCTTTTTTTTTTTTTTTTTTTTTAAAATTGTGCTAATTTTATGTGATTGAACTAAAAAAATATCTCTAATAAAATTGAATAGCACTAATACGAAATAATAACTCTCATTCAAATAGTAAATGCAGAATTAATTCGCTTTCTATTCAATTTAATATCCAATCACTATTACCTACAAAATAACATATTCAAAAATTCAATTCACAATTCTCAACAAAAAAATTACTACTTTGTATACAAAGCCAAAAGATAAGAAGAAAGTGAACCAAAACACCCAATCCCTTGTCAGATCAAAGGAAAAAAAAAAAAAGAAGAGAAATAAGAATCCAAAGAAAAGCCTCAAGCATTTTGTCATGCATGGACTGAAGACTGAAATCATCATCATGCCCATAATCAATTTGCCAAAGATCAACTCCACCCATATAGCTGCCTATGTTGAGAACAATTAAACCCTCAGCATCCTGGAAGAAAAGTTAAAAGAAAAAAATTTAAAAATATGAAATAACAATAGTAATAATAATTTAAACAACAATAACAATAAAGATCTTAGGTTATTTGAGTTGAAGTACCTTTGGGATTGGGATGTCTTTCCCATCAACTTCAAGCCAAACTTGCCATGGTAAGTCAGCACAAGTTCTGTCCATTATATCCCTTGCATGTTCTTTTGCATTCGCAATTTATTTACAAACTGATCCAGAAATTTCAATTAGTAAATGGAAAAATTGTGTGCGCAGATCAAGGGAGCAAGCAATCTTCAATTTAAAAAATTACCCACTCAATGCTAGTACTACAACACACATTTAACAGATTTACCAAGTGAATAAAAAATTAAGCACCCAAGAGAAAGCAATATTCAATTTAAAAAAACTACCATTCTCAACAAGTACTAGGGCTACAAGAGAAGTTAAAAGATTCACCAGGTGAATAAAAAAATTAGACATCAAAAGCATTAGTGGACCATCATAGCCAAGGGTCGTGTTTGGAGGAAGGCTTTGGAAGCCCCACCATTGTGCTTGGCATGATGAGTTTAGAAGTAGAATACAGGAATAGGAGGGCATTTAAGGGAATGGAGCTCTAATCCTCAAGGTGAACAGATTTCTCTTGAGCACTTTGTATTTTTGGATCACTGAGCTTTCCAAATGCAAATTCTTTTAGAATCATCCGTGGAATTCTGGGTGATGTATTTGTTTCAGTAAATGGTAAGTTGGTTTGGTCTTGTATTTTTCATGTATACTATGGTTGCACCCCCTTCCCCTTAAGGAATTTCTTTACTAAAAAAGAAAAGGAAGATCCACATAATACCGATTAATTATTCAAAGATTGGAGAAAGAAAGAAGATTTTCATGTCCACAATGAATTAGGAGGAAAAAACATGGATCAAGGTGATATTATCAATGCTATAAATGTCTACCAACAATTCAGAATTTCTGTTAATAAATTCAATATCCAAGAATATGCTTCTACTGAAAAAAATCAATAATACAAATCTTATTTCCATTAGATGTAGGGTGCACTACATCTAATAATACAAATCTTATTTCCAATATCAAAGAACAACCTTGCACTTAAAATAAAATACAAAAAAAAAGGGTGAGTAGTAAATGAAACAGAATTACCTTATGGAAAAAAACAGAGATCTTCAGCCATTAAAAAAAGGGAGGAAAAGAGCTTTTTATGCAGAGCTCAAATTCTTACCTACTCCAATCCCAAAAATAAGATAAAATAAATTAACAAAAACTAGATGCAGAACTTTCATTTGTGAAGAAAAAGATGTCAAAAATGTGCAGCCACCAATTTTTCTATAGGATTAAACAATTACTATTTACAAACCCATGAGGCCTATGCTATCTCTTCCATAGACCTGATCAATGTTCCTTGAAACCTTCAAGAGACCAAAGTCAAATTGGGCAAAAAACATTTTGTAACAAAGTCTATGCAAGAAAATAGGTAAATCTATTTGAAATAAATAGACCATAAAAATTGGATAAAAACAAGGCCATTAAAGTTTCATGAAAACAATACCAATTCCTTGCTAAGTTCAACATTAGCTTGGTAGCTGCTCTGCTTGCCTTGGCTACTCCCACAAAAGACACAAATACTCTTGAACACACAAAGATATATACACACATAACTAATACACACAAACTTAACTTAACAAGATATCATAACATTAAAAACAAAACTTAACTTATATCATTTCTTATTGCACTTTGTATATTGTTCATGTTGGATATGATGTACAAAAAATTCACACCAATTTATATTTATGTTATGTGATTTGTCTAAATAAGCATAAACTGTTATTAACTCATTGCCTATAGTGTATATTTACCATAACCTGATAAGTGTCGTTACAATGAAGACTCAAAATTTAAAAAAACTAGTCCCTATAAATTAAACTATGTACAAAAAGCATACACCATAAAATAAAAGCAAATATAGATGAGGGAAAAGGGGTATATGAAGATGGATACCATACATAAAGATGAACAGCTGGAACAAAGAAAAATCATAAAGGTAAATGCCCCTGTTTCACAAAGAATAAATTCTGCATCCACTAATAGCAAAAACACAGAATGAGCAATATAAACTGCTATGAAAATCTGCCTACATTGTTTTGGTCAAGAATAGGAAGCCTTGCAATATAAACTTAGAGAAAACATCAAAGGTAGTTAAAATATGAACAATGCTAAAATGCTAATATTGTGTCAACAAATTCATGAGGAAGCAATCACTCAAGTTCAACATCATAGCATTACAGATTGAATTCACGATTTGATAACTATAAATTCATATTCGAATGAACACATGGATTCAAATTCAAATCTCTCACAACAAATTTATAATTAAATATGAACTTCATGAGCAGAGAGAGAATTTACTGCATTAAATCGCAAGGGGCAAGTCAGGCAAGAGTAGAGTTGATCCAAACCCTATGAAGAGATTCAAGATTGTAAACCCTAGGAGAAGAATCGACCGAAGGAAGAGAGAGAGAGAGAGAGAGAGAGAGAGAAGAATCGATGAAACTGAGATTGGATTGAAATCAAAATCGTGCAGATGGTTAGTAGACGATGCAGATGGTGGTGGCGGTGGCGGTGGCGGTGGAGCTTCGAAATCAAAATCATTCTGAGATTGGATCGACCGAATGATGAATCACCGAGCTGAAGAAGGTTGAATCAAGCTGAAGGAGCTGAAGGACTTAGAGAGAGAGAGAGAGAGAGAGAGAGAGAGTGAGTCAGAGATTTGGGGGATCAGTTTCTTTGAGACTGTAGAGTTTCTCAGATTGAAATAAGTTGGCGAGAGATTTGAGGGTCTGGAGAGAGAAACATTGTTAACACATTTGGAGGCGCTTTTTAAACGACTCCTATTACTTAAAACGGTGCCGTTTTAATTAAAACAAAATGCGACGTTTACAAAACGTCGTTAAATATTATAAATAGTGACATTTTTAAAAACGCTGTTAAATAAACGCCATTAAATCATATATTTCCTGTAGTGTTAACCACACTTTACTTCTCAATTAGTTGACCCATATGCTTCTGAATGGGGGTCGACCCGCCGTCTACAGTGGGTTGTTGAAGCTAACCAAAAAAAATAAAAAATGATCAACCCCCACCTTCTTGGCTATGTTTGGTAAAAGTTGACAATTTAAAAACAGAAATTAAAAGCATCCTCAGTTAATTTTTGAAAATTACATTTTTTTTGCTTATTTTCTATTTCACCTAATAATTTATAAGCATAAATTATACCACATAATTTAGCACATACTCCCCTAATAAAAAAGTTACAAACAATTCAGATAAGTTGCACATACTCCCCTAAAAAATACCAATCAGCGATACATTCCCAAAATATTTATAAATTTTGGAAAAATTTTGTAATTTTTTTTTTTTTTTTGAAAACATGCATTGAAGTACAATTTCTCTAAATTTTTAATTAGTAAATATAAATTTACTAATGAACATTGAAAAAAATAAAAATAAAAACAAGACCGATTACATCAATAAAAATATGAGTAATAATATACAAATATAAAATTTATAAAGAACTTTCATACATAATAATGTGATTTAATAATTTCACTTTAAAACAAAATATCCATAAAAATACCTTTTATTTATAACAATACCACTTCCACCTCATTCTTCTATATTTTTTTAAAAAATATTGATGGGTTGTGTAAAAGGACTTTTGACTGATAAACTAATATAATGTGATTGTTGTGTGTGATTTTGGGCAGCAAATGAAATATGTGATAGATTTGGATCATCTGGATCACACGCAAACATGATAACATACTTGACGAAGGAGCTGAACATGCCAATGGTAGCAGCAGCAAACACACTGAGTAACTTTGTTGCGACAGCCAGTTTAACACCTATTATTGGTGCTTTGATTGCTGACTCCTTCGCTGGCCGTTTTTGGACCATCATTGCTGGTTCCCTTATTTATGAACTGGTCTCTCTCTCTCTCTCTCTCACTCAAAAGATATGAATTATTTTCTTAATGTTTATTATTATTTTTAATTAATTTTACTTTCATCTCTTAAATTATTGCTTTTTTTAAAAAAAAAATTTGTTTCATTTTTAAACTATCAATTTAATCTATTTACTCGTTACAAATTTAATTCAACTAATGTAGTCTACAGGCTGTTCCAATCAATAAACATTAAAATTTAACTTGACAGTACCCAGGAATGTAGTTGAGTTGGTAAGACTTGGATTCATAACCTTAGGTATTTAGTTCAACTTTTAAGCGAAGCCTAGTCTATTGCTGTGGAGTGGTGCATTTATCTCCAAGTTTGGATGTCTAATTTAGTTAGAAGGGTTTTGTCGTGGCTTATCTTTTACTATTATGATTTGGATAAAGTGTCTCTAATATGTATTCTGAAAATAAAAATTTTAGAGTAAATAAATGAAATTGATAATTTAGGAATGTGAAAAAATAAAAAACAATAATTAAAAAGGATAAAAGTGAAATCGACAATTTTTTTTTTCTCAAAATTTTGTCACACTCCTAATCATCCAAATAATAATATACGCGACAAAAATAATGTCAGGAGTTAATACTACTATATGGTTTTGCAATGATAAATTGAAATAACACAATTCGGCCAAACAGGGATTAGTGAGCATGACAATATCAGCAACACTCCCCCAACTCCGCCCACCACCATGCCCAACTCAGGTTAACTGCAAAGAAGCCTCTACCCTCCAACTATGGATCCTCTACATCTCCCTCCTCCTCTCCTCCCTCGGCTCAGGTGGCATCCGACCCTGCGTTGTCACCTTCGCTGCCGACCAATTGGACATGTCCAAGTCAAGAGTAGAGTCTAGAAGCTGGAACTTCTTCAACTGGTACTATTTCTGCATGGGAATGGCTTCACTGAGTGCCCTGACAGTAGTTGTTTATATCCAAGACAATGTGAGTTGGGGTTTGGGACTTGGAATACCCACCATTGCTATGGCTGTGTCTGTGATTGCGTTTGTTTTGGGGTCACCTCTTTATAAGAAAGTGAAACCAAGTGGGAGTCCTTTGGTTAGGATGGCTCAAGTTGTTGTTGCTGCTGTGAAGAAGAGGAAGGAAGTTGTGCCAGATGGCGTTGGGGATTTGTATGAGAATAGAGAGCTTGATGCTGGGATTTCTAGCAATGGAAGGCTTCTACATACTGACCAGCTCAAGTAAGATTCACATTTTATATTTAGGGTAAATTTGTTTGACCTAATTCTCATCAAATCATATTGAAAATAAGTATTAACAAAATTGTCGCTAAAATATTTTTTTGCGACGACTTTTTACATGTCTCAAAAAAATTGACAATTTGTTTTTTTTTTGTCACGATTTTTATAAATTGTCGTTAAAATTTACAATTAGTGACTTTTTTTGTAATGAATTTTTCAAAAAAGTTAAAAATTAGTTACTTTTTTTTTCACGATTTTTTTAAATCGTCACTAAACCTTATAATTAATGATATTTTGTGACAAAATTTTCGAACTGTAACTGAAAATTAACAATTAGTGACTTTTTTTTTTTAATGGTGTTTGATGAAAAATGTCATTAATTATCATAGAATCTATTGAATAATAAGTCTACCTATTAAGACCTGTACGTAAGTTTTCCAAATTATATCTTAGTAGAACCTCAAAAAATTAATTGTTCTTTAATAAAAAAGTTATCAGTTTATATTTTAATATTTATAAAATTTATCATTAATTTATAAATATTTTTTTTCAATTGGCAGATAATTTCTTCTTAAAAAAATTAAAAAGATCAAATACACTCATGATGCCAAAAGTATACTGTGTTGTGGTCTTCAAATTATGCACTTTGTTGAATTATGGTCCCCCAATATTTTAAAATTTTATTGTGTATTTATTTTGAAGTTCAAAAAATATCCCAAGTCAGTTGATCAATTTAGATGATATACGAGTTAGGACAATTTGAATTAAACTCACATTTCATAGTTTAGAAATTAAATTGAAAAAATTAAAAACTCTATTGACAAAACTATAACCAAATACATAGTTTAGACCATTGAAACTAGACAATTCTTATATTTTGTTGTATTCAAACATTATGTCTGATATGATTAAAACTGTTTCTTATACACATTGTTATTTGAAGGTGGCTAGATCGAGCAGCCATTGTAACAGAAGAAGACACGAAAGATCCAACCTCCCCAAACCTTTGGAGAATCGCCACCGTCCACCGCGTCGAGGAACTCAAGTCCATCATCCGGATGCTCCCCATCTGGGCTGCCGGAATCCTCCTCGCAACCGCCCAATCCCACCAGCACAGCTTCATCATCCTCCAAGCTCGCTCCATGGACCGCCACCTCTCCCCCACCTTCCAAATCCCTCCTGCCAGCCTCTCCATCTTCTCCATCCTCACCGTCCTCATCGGCCTCGTCCTCTACGAACGTGCTTTCGTGCCCTTCGCTCGTCGTTTCACTAAAAACCCTGCAGGCATCACGTGCTTGCAGAGGATGGGGATAGGGTTTACAGTCAACATTCTTGCAACTATTGTGTCAGCCATAGTTGAAATAAAAAGAAAAAAGGTGGCAGCAAATCACAACTTACTCGACAAGCCTACCGCGATCATACCCATAAGTGTGTTTTGGTTGGTACCGCAATTTTGCCTCCATGGATTGGCGGAGGTTTTTATGTCGGTCGGGCATTTGGAGTTTTTGTACAGTCAATCGCCAGAAAGCATGAGAAGCACAGCTGCGGCATTGCATTGGATATCGATATCATTGGGGAACTTTATTGGTTCTTTCATGGTGTCAATGGTTCATAAGTATAGTGGGAAGGAGAGGAATTGGTTGCCTAACAGGAATCTGAATAGGGGGAGATTGGAAAACTATTTTTGGCTTGTGAGTGGCATACAAGTATTGAATCTCTTGTATTATGTGATATGTGCTTGGTTTTATACTTACAAGCCATTGGAAGACGTGGTTGATGAGAGAAATGGTGAAGGGGGTGATGTGGAATTAGGTAGAGATGATCATAAGGCATTGAATGATGCCAATGGAAATGGGGAAGTAGGAGTGACCAAGTGATGACAACTTGTGCGATGTTAAAATATTTGCAGTACTTGGCTCTAATTTTAGTGAGTGCAAAAAGGAATCATGTCTATGTTTTTTTTTTGATCGGCAAAGAAAACTTTATTAATGAAGCACGTACAGGGTATAATGGGAAACATCACTAAAGAGGAGGAAGGAGCTAGAGGAAACTTAAACCTCCAAGTTGGTGAGAAACCAACAAAAGAGAAGGAATCATGTCTATTTATATATATATTTTAATCAAGGTCTCATTGTAGACATGATTATTGCTAGAATTTGATAGAACTTGATTAGAATATTTACTCTCATGCATCAAAGTTAGATATGATAATGAATAAAATATTTTTTTATCAGGTGTAATGCTCGAGTTTGAATATGTGGACTATGCAATTTTTCCATTCTATCAATTGTTATGTTAGTTGTTTATATGTGGTAACTATTTTGAAGACTAGACTAACATAATTGGTTATTTTTATACACTTTATTTGAGAAATCATGTTTCCCTCGTTATGTGGTTTTTGTTAGTGTACTGAGTTTTTATTTTATCCCATATTGGTGGGCTGTCTCTATTTTTTTGTACAATACATTTTTCTCATTTTGTTTTGGGCCGAACGTATGAATTACTGACCCGTGGAGGTCCTTGATCTAAACCTGCATTTGTTCATGTCCATTGTCCACTACAAGTTCATGTTGGGCTGGATTATCTCAAATTAACGGGCCAAACTAGTCCAGTTTGATCTAAAGAGGAGGAATTTGGCCATTTAAAGCCCATAAATATCGACAAATTCAGGATTTTTAAATAAGTCCGGTCAATGGTCAATAGAACTGGTCGTAAATTATATAGTACTAAAAACAATTTGAGATTCGGCATTTGTTGGCAAAAATATAAATAACGCTTTAAAGACACTTAATGATTTAAAATAATTATACCAGCGTTTCTTATTAACTGGACATATTTATTCATAAGATTTGAGTAAATTTTATTTTATTTATTTATGTTATAATGTATGATGAGAATTAGAAAATTTTGAGATTTTTTAAATGTGTTTTGTATTTGTAAATGATCATTTGATATTAGTAATGATATTGATAAATTTATCAAAGTGATATATGATTGAAACAATTTAGCTTTTGTTTGTGAGTTTTCATTTAACTTTAGTTTATTTGTTTAAGTTTGTATTGAAATATGATGCAGGAAGTATAAATAGTTGAATTGTATTTTTTTTTTTTTTAAATTTACAGTGATAAATTTATCACTAAAAGTTGTTTATTAGGAGAAAACCCAAGAACACAAGAAGAAAAAAGATAGGCTAGCCGACCGCCATGACCAAAGGCGGCGGCCTGCCGGCCAGCGGTGAGGCCCCGAGGTAGAGGTTTTTAGAAAGAGTTTTTTGAGAGAGTTTTTTAGAGAGAGGGTTTTTTATAAGAATTTATCACTAAAAGTTGAATATGACTTTTTGATAAATAAAGGATTTGTTTGTAACCATCCTTAATAAGCATAAAAATTTACACAGGATTTTACTATGAGAGTAAAGTATATGTTATAAATTTAAAATTAGCGTGTTGAGAAGTATGTAAAACGAATTTTGTTCACATATTTAAATTTTGAGTACAATTTTGGATTTTTTTTTTATATTTTATTTTATTTTAAGAAACGTAACACAATTTGGATTGATAATGAAAAAAATATTAATTCAATTAAATAGATTTGCTTTGATATTATTTGATTGTGCCACCTTAACACCCAGTCATATCTCAATGGATTTTGGATATGTTAATGAAAAATTTGATTGAAAATGTGTAACAATAAAAATTTGAGTCCTCATTATAGAATTCTAGCTAGGGAAGAAGAGACACTGGATGTCTCTAAGACTCTAATGAAGTAAATTTCTCAATATGAAAAATACAACACACTTTTTTTTTTCTCTTTTTTATAGTAACCCTAAAATCAAGAAGATATAAATTAAGGGTTTTTTACCAGCCGATCCTGATAATTGAATTTATTATCCATTAAGTCCAAAGTTTCTATCTCATACACTAGGAAGTCCTGTTATATTTTTTTTATCCTGATTTTGCCCCTGCTGTTATACTGCCAGAGCCATTGATGAATTAATAGTCACTACAAAAATTTGTTTTTTGCGACGGCGAAATGTCATCGCAAATATCCAAAACGCCGTCTTAAAAGCTTTTTTGTGACGGCAACTGGCTTTTAGCGACGGCAAGTGAGGGGTCGCAACAAAGAGGGTTGCTAAAGGGTTTTAACGACAGTATAACGCCATCGCCTCTTTTTTGTGACAACAAGAATGCCTTTTTGCGACGGCAAAATGTTGTCGGCATTAATGCGTGAAAATCTGAATTTTTTGAGACGGCACTGTGTTGCCGTCGCTAAAAAGGTTATTTGCAACGGCAAAAATACCGTCGCTAAATGGATATTTGAGAACGCAAACATGTCGTCTCCAAAAAAATTATTTGCGACAGCAAAGAATACTGCCGCTAAAGGTTTTTTGTTTCAGCTAATGCCACTATCTTTGGCGACGACTATACTACCGTCGCAGAAAACCTGGTTCCAATTTTTTTTTGAGACGGTGTGGTGCCGTCTCAAAAAAAAAAAAAAAAAAAAAAAAAAAACAAGAAAGAAGCAACAATTAAAATTATTAAAAATATGAAAATTACCTGTATTAAATGAAAAATAACTAAAAAAGAAACCGATAATTACATAATAAGAATAAAAATTCCAAAAAATAAATAAAAATTCATCCATAATTAAAATATTCTTCCATTCATAACAACACACCCACAAAATTATCTCACCACATAATGTTGCATAATACATACATAATGTTGTTCACAAATCTAAATAAGGTAAATCAAAAATCAAAGTTTTCGCCATGATTCTTCCGTGGGTAACCATAACAAAAACAAAAGTTAGTCGCAATCTTCACACGCCTGCATTCCACAATAAGCAAATTGCTACTGGGGAAATATCTGAAAACAAAAAATAAAAATAATTAATAACAATATAATTATGTGTTAATATTTTAATTACAAAAAAACATAAAAAAATTAACTATAATATAATTACAAAGATAATTAAGTAAATAATTTTGGTTAGACAGAAATTCGGCTTTAACTCCCAAACTGGGAACCCGATTCGAGTCTCGTCTTCTCCCACAAGTCTCTCGTGCCTAGGCCAAGTTTCGTACCAAACCGACGCTGTTTGGTGATTTTGGGGCGTCAACATCTCGAATTCAAATTTCTTAAGGAACTAGTTTGCCTAGACTGAAATCTGGCTCTAACTCCCAAACCGGGAACCCGATTCGAGCTCCATCTTCTACCACAAGTCTCTCGTGCCTAGGCGGTCGTGTGTGCCAAGTTTCGTGCTAATCCGATCCCGTTTGGTGATTTTGGGCCGTCAACACCTCGAATTCAAGTTGTTAAGGAACTAGTTTGCCTAGAGTGAAATTCGGCTTTAACTTCCAAACCGGGAACCCAATTGGAGCCCCGTCTTCTCACAAAAATCTCTCGTGCCTAGGCGATCGTGTGTGCCAAGTTTCGTGCCAAACCAACGCTGTTTGGTAATTTTGGAGCGTCAACACCTTGAATTCAAATTTCTTAAAGAACTAGTTTGCCTAGACCGAAATCCGGCTCTAACTCCCAAATCGGGAACTCGATTCGAGCCCCGCCTTCTCCCACAAGTCTCTCATGCCTAGGCAGTCGCGTGTGCCAAGTTTCGTGCTAGTCCGACCCCGTTTGGTGATTTTGGGCCCTCAACACCTCGAATTCAAGTTGTTAAGGAACTAATTTGCCTAGAGTGAAATCCGGCTCTAACTCCCAAATCAAGAACCCGATTGGAGCCCCGTCGTCTCACAAAAATCTCTCATGCCTAGGCAATCGTGTGTGCCAAGTTTCGTGCCAAACCAACGCCATTTGGTAATTTTGGAGCATCAACACCTCGAATTCAAATTTCTTAAAGAACTAGTTTGCCTAGACTGAAATCCACCTCTAACTCCCAAACCGAGAACCCGATTTGAGCCCCGTCTTCTCCCACAAGTCTCTCGTGCCTAGGCGGTTGTGTGTGCCAAGTTTCGTGCCAAACTGACATCGTTTGGTATTTTGGGACATCAACACCTCGAATTTAAATTTCTTAAGGAACTAGTTTGCCTAGACCGAAATTTAACTCTAACTCCCAAACCGGGAACCCGATTCAAGCCCCGTCTTCTTCCACAAGTCTCTCATGCCTAAGCGGTCGTGTATGCCAAGTTTCGTGCTAATCCAACCCCGTTTGGTGATTTTGGGCCGTCAACACCTCGAATTCAAGTTGCTAAGGAACTAGAGTGAAATCTGGCTCTAACTTCCAAACCGGGAACTCGATTGGAGCCCCGTTTTTTCACACAATTCTCTCATACCTAGGCGATCGTGTGTGCCAAGTTTCGTGCCAAACCGATGCCATTTGGTGATTTTGGAGCATCAACACCTCGAATTCAAATTTCTTAAAGAATTAGTTTGCCTAGACCGAAATCCGACTGTAACTCCCAAACCAGAAACCCAATTTGAGCCCCGTCTTCTCCCACAAGTCTCTTGTGCCTAGGCGGTCGTGTGTGCCAAGTTTCGTGCTATTCCGACCCCGTTTGGTGATTTTGGGCGTCAACACCTCGAATTCAAATTGTTAAGGAATTAGTTTGCCTAGAGTGAAATCCAACTCTAACACCCAAACCGGAAACCCGATTGGAGCCCCGTCTCCTCACACAATTCCCTCGTGCCTAGGCGATCGTGTGTGCCAAGTTTCGTGTCAAACCGACGCCGTTTGGTGATTTTGGAGCGTCAACACCTCGAATTTAAATTTCTTAAAGAACTAGTTTGCCTAGACCGAAATACGGCTCTAACTCCCAAACCGGGAATCCAATTTGAGCCCCGTCTTCTCCCACAAGTCTCTCGTGCCTAGGCGGTCGTGTGTGCCAAGTTTCGTGCCAAACCGACGCCGTTTGGTGATTTGGAGACGTCAACACGTCGAATTTAAGTTTCTTAAAGAACTAGTTTGTTTAGACCGAAATCTGGCTCTAACTTCCAAACCAAGAACCCGATTCGAGCCCCATCTTCTTCCATTTGTCTCTCGTGCCTAGGCGGTCGTGTGTGCCAAATATGTCGTCGCGAAATGTTCTGTCTCTTAAGCCCCATTTTCTTGTAGTGTGAGTTGATATAGATATATCACTTTTTTTTTTCTTTTTAATTTCTAAAATAACCACAAGCGAAGTTACATAAAAATAAGAGCGATGATACCATAGATTGAATCTTTAACTACTTTGATTGTAGATTTCATAACACGATATTTTCAAGAGTAAATTATAGTAAACTTCTTAAACTATGATCCATTTGTATTGTGCTTCTATGAATTTCAAAACTCAACAATTAATTAACTTGAAGCATTATCTTGTTACACTTAACCACTTCTATTAAGATTCTATTAGAGATTGAAACGAAATCAATCATGTATAAAGTAAATGACACACTTACTGAATTTTTAAGACAATAATGTCCTTATTTAATGATTCCGTTTGAACTTTACTACTAAGATAAAGGAGACAAAATGCAAATGAGATTACCAGATTAGGACATTATTGTCCTAAAAATTAAATGTGTCATGTGTTAAGATTCTATTTAAATCCCTAACAAAATCTTAACAGAAAGGGTTAAGTGTAACTATTAAAGTTTAGGAGGAAAAAGTGCAAACGAATCAAAACTTAAAAGGGTTTATTGTAATTTATCCTATTTTCATTTGTACAAGATAGTGTACTTACCATTCTAGTATATATAACTCAAGCATTGTACAGCTTTATTTGTTTATGGGCCATGCCATGCCATACCATTTCATTAAATTTTTATTTTTATTTTTGGTGAAGAACATGAAATATTTTGATCGTATATAACAGTTCTCATCTTACTAATTGGCTGTGAGATTAATACATTGTTGAGGCTATAATATGATTATTGGTAATGATTCAAGAATTGTATGTAGAAAATTTGGGTTTCTAAGCCTGTCACTTTTGGGTTGCTTACCAGCACTGAGAGCAGCAAACCCTAAAGGCAATGAATAAGGAGGTTGTTTTGAAGAAGCTTGCGCCCTAGCACTAGCACATAAAAATGCTCTCAAAGCTGTCCTCACCAGCCTTGAACATCTATTTAAAGGTTTCAAGTATTGCAACTCCAATTTCTATGTCTGGCTTGAAGATAGAATTAATAATCCTTCTAAGTATGGTATGTATATATTCCCTATATCTCAATTCCTCAAATTCATCCTTTATTCTTCTAGGAATAATGTTATATTAAATTAATAAATTTACAATTTTTTATTACTTGCATGAATTGTCTTTATCACATATAAACAAGGTAAAGATCTTAAAGTTGAAAATGTCATGTGCAATTTAGATAATTGGGTTTTATTAGATATGTCGAGTATTTAGAGAAAAAAAAAATACTCAGAAAAAGTACGCAGAATTTGAATGTATGTTGTATATTTAAACTTGGATCACAACGAGAATAAATCTGGTTTACATAATTTAAATTTTAGAACTTTTCTAAATACATTTTCTCAATATGTAACAGAGTGTCATTTGATACTTCTATCTAGTAAAATTGTTATAAAAACTTGACAATTAAATCTAGCTATTTGAGCTTGTAATGCACTGTGGAGCCTATAATCATGTAATTATATGATTGAATGAAAGCATTATATGATCATAATGAACCTTTGTAATACATTTAGTTGGAAACATCATTGCATGTACCTCAAATTTTTTTTTATAGAAAAGTACATAATTTAATTTGAACACGTCGACTTTAAATCTACACTACTAAAACCTTAGCAGCCAATGTCAATTGCAAGAAGATCCCACAGTCTTCCTCTTTCATCGTACTTGATTTCTTTCCCCAAAGAGGCTGGGGGCGAAGTGTAATTTTTTTACTAACTCAAATTTCCTTCAGATTTCCATTAAATCTTAGTCTAATTTAAAATGTTGATTTTAATCTGACTACCAAATTTGAAATGATTTGACTACTTTTTGAAATGATTTGAGAACTCCTCTATCCTTGTCCATCCCATGGAAATTTCAAGAACATAGACTCAATATTCAATTTCACTAGAAGATGCAATATTAAGCATATTGACAAAACTCACCTCACAACTTGGACAGGATAACCTTTTCGGCAACTAACCCGTAATGCCTCATTCATTTTATCAAACTTCTAATCAAATGACTATCTTCGTCCTTTTGTTTCCACTGAGGTCTCTTCCACCACTGTCCACAAATATATATGTATAGATAGATAGAGTTTAGATAGATAAAGAAATAGAAAATAGATCAACCTCAATGCATGCATGAAAAGAACAACAGAAATATAAAGTATTTATAGTAGCACATGAATCATGTTTATGCCCAGCCATACAAAATTGGATTGTTCATCGATGAATAGCCTGACTTAGTCCTACCATTTAGATAAATCTTACTCTGCAAATTTTTACAAGATAAACATCAATGTAAAGGCCAAATCAAGTGACAATGCGCCACTAATGACAAATATGCATGACTTAACAACAACAGCTTGTAAGAAAAAATGTTCATGAAGGAGCAACTTTGACACCAAAACCCAATGTATAGGGATGCCAGTGAAAATATACACATTGCCTATAATGGCAATTACTCAAACAATAACATATCTAATGCACCCATGAGCATACCTTCCTGTGTAGAGGAACCATTCACCGTGATCCTCATCATCTTCATAGCCTCCAGAGAGGGCTACAGACTGAACCATTCACTCTGATTTCTGTCTGGGTCATTCTCTGCTAGAATTGGTCCAACATGGGGAAGACAACAACACATTTTTAATCAACTAAACCTAATATCCCTAAATCATTTTCCCTAATTAAGAAAATAAACCTTTATAGCAGTGTAAAAGAAAAAAATCCAAAATAAGTTGACAACTAAAAATCATCCAAAGAACCTAAGCAAGTAGGCACACATACAGGTCATGTATATATATAGAACCAAAACAATGAACTTAATATTAGAGAGAACACATATACACATGTATATATATATATATATATATCAATTAGATTTTGTGTATTGTTCACCCATGAGCGAGATCTGTTCTATAAGTTACAAATCTGATCAAGATTTGGATGTTGTACCCATGAGCTTGTGTAATATATATATATATATATGTATATATAAAATAAAACTTACAAATTTGAGCAATCGATTGAGAGTGAGGGTTTCTGAGCTTCAAATCGAATGGGTTTCTGAGTGAGAAAGAGAGAGAGAGGGCGATAACGGAGGTGATGGCGGTGGCGCGGTAGTCACAGTGGCAGTAGTCGTGGCGTCAGAGGCAGATGAGAGAGAGGGAGGAAGTGTAACCGTGTATGGTTTGGACTGTATATGATGTGGAAAATTGGATCGAGTTTGGAGCAGTCTGTGGAGGTTTGATCTGTTGATGATGATGTGTAGGAGGTTAGGGTTTCTGGTTCTGGGGTTGAAGTGTTGTATCGTCGAGAGAGATACAGGGAGGAAGAGAGAGAGAGAGAGATACATGAAGGATTGATTGATGATATGGCTCAACACCGTCGTCTGCCTTGCTTACAATCGCGCGAGAGAGAGAGATGGAGATTTTTGTGATTCAAAAATTAGGGATTTGAGATTTGGGGATTTTTGGTTAAAGGGGAAAAATGAGCGCCAATCAGATTTTGAGTTTTTTTTTTTTTTTTTTGCGACATCAAGTATAACCGTTACAAATAAAAATTTAAGGTAGCGTTTGGTAACGTTTACGTTTTTTGTTTATGTTTACAAAAAATTTATAAATTGGTTTTTGTTTATTTTTAGAAAAACATAAATTACAAACGCGTTTGGTTTGAACAAAATGTTTAAAAAAAATTAAAAAATAAACTAAAAAACATGTTTATCTAGGCCTAAAATATTTATATTTATTTTTTTATTATTTATGACGATGGATCATACACATTATAATTGAAAAAAAAATTAATTAAAAAAAATATTTGAAAAAAAAAAATTTGAAAATAGATGAGAGAGATAGAGAAGAGAGATGAGTAAGAGAGATAGAGAAGAGAGATAAGTGAAAGAAAGAGAGAGAGAGAGAGAGAGAGAGAGAGAGAGAGAGAGAGAGAGAGAAGAGAAATGAGCGAGAAACACAGAGAGAAAAAGAGACCCATTTCATTTTTTGACTTTTTCCTCTTTCAACAACAATGGGCTCAGAGAAAAAGATGAGTGTGATTGAGAGAAATGAACAATTGAGAGAGATGAGAGATGAGTGAGAAAGAGAGACAGAGAGAAAGAAAAAAAGAGAGAGATAAACAAGATGAGCGAGAGATAGACAAAGAGAGAGAGAGAGGGAGCAAAAAGAAATGAACAAGAGATATAGAGAGAGTGAGAGGGAGAGGGAGAGGGAGAAGAAAGATAAGCAAGAGAGATAGAGAGAGAAGATTGAGTGGTAGTGGTAGAGGAGATTGAGTGGCGGTGGTGGAGGAGAGGTAATAGTAGTAGTAGTAGTTGTAGTAGTAGTAGTAGTGGTAGTAGTGGTGGTAATGGTAGTGGAGTGGTAGCGATGGTGGTAGTAATGGTAGTCGAAGAGGTGGAATGGCAACAGTGGTAATAATGGTGATAGTGGAATGACATTTGCAGTAGTGGTGAAGGTGGTAGAGGAGATTGGTGGTGAGAGAGAGATGAGTAAGAGAGAGAGAGAGAGAGAGAGAGACAGACAGACAGAGACAGAGATAGAGTGATGAACGAGAGAAAGGCAAAGTGGTCGCTAAAAGTGCATTTTCTTGTAGTGGAGAGCTCAGTAAATAGAGAAACGATGAGGGAGAGAGTGAGTAATGTGAACACAATGGGGGAGAACAAACAGACAGACATAGAGAGAGACTCCATCTCCGCCGCCATCCGCCTGATGACAGCGTCTTGGTCCCTTAACTTACTTTCCAGTCGCCTGGCGTGTGAGTCTCTCCGCCGGTGACCGTCTGGACTCCGTGAACGCCCATGACTCCTTCCGCGCTTATCCCGCGCGTCTCCTGACTGTCCTCCAGTGGGCGTCCCCAAGTCAGCCATTGGATGGACGGCAGGAGGTCCCTCTCTCCTTCGGGTATACTCCGGGGTGGCTCCGTCGATGGCGGACAACGGAAACTCGTCGTTGTTCGCTATGGACGGCGATCAGACGAACCTGGAAGACAAGGTTTTGTCTGTCAAGCTTCCCACAGACGGCGCCAATTGTACGGGGAGCAAATATTCCGGCAAGCCCGTATTCCTTTCTTCCGAGCTCCGTCGATGTCCGATCACCTGCGAGCAAGTAACGGTGAGCTACCCGGCGGTGTGTGGCCGGAAAAACCCTCCGACGGTCAAGTTAGCACACACCTTAGGATGGATAGAGAGAAGGGAGAGAGTGTTTGAGTGTAAGAATTCCTTACAGAGGTGTTCGTGTGTCGCGTATGGGGGGCGCAGACATGCTTATATACCTTCTGCGCCCCATATCCACTCCCAGTCATCTCCTGACACGTGGCTCTGCTATCCCATCTATCAGCACAAACCTTGCTGAACATCACCTAATCTCATCTGCCTGTTATCACATCTGGAGCTCGGCAGCCGAGCTGTCCTATGCGTTGCTGCGCCGTGCCGTGCTTCATACCCAAGCGCTTCCCTGGCAAACTCCAAGGGGGGACCGGGCTAGGCGGCATCTCGGCAAAGCCTAGCCCGAAGCACCCCGTGGTCAGCTTTCACGTCGGTCAAACGGTAACCTCGGCCGACCGTGCCATTCCGGGCGCCGGTCACTCGGCTTGTCTGGCTTCGGCTAATCTCGGACCGAGCATCCTGGTCCGACCGAGCTCTGCCTTACCGAGCTGCTTCTTTACGGTCTTAGGCGGGACGCACTCGGCCCAAGTTCTGCCCGGCCCAAGTTCTGGCAGCCCTTCTCTGGGCGAACGGTCGATCATCTCGGCCCAATGCACTGCTGGGCTCTCAATCTGCTCGGTCGATACCTCGGCCCAACTCCAGATCATAAATCACCCTCTCAGAGAGAAAGAGATATATATATATATATAGAGAGAGAAAGAGAGAGAGAGAAACAGATAGAAAAAGAGAGAGAAACAAAAGATGAGCGAGAGATAAACAGAGAGAGAGAGAGAGAAAGAGAGCAAAAAAAGATGATCAATAAAAAGACATAAAAAAAAGAGAGAGAGGGAGAGAAGAAAGATGAGCGAGAGAGACAGAGAGAAAGATAGAGAGAAGAGAGATGAGTGGGAGAGATAGAGAAAGAAAAGAGATGAGCGAGATAGAGAGAAGAGAGACGAGCGAGAGACAAAGAAAGAAAGACAGAGACAGAGACAAAGACAGACAGACAGAGAAGAGTGATGAGAGTGAGAGAGAGAGAGACAAAAAGAGAAAGAGATAGAGAGTGAGAGATAGAAAAAGAGACAGAGAGAAAAGAGAGATGAACAAGAGAGACAGAGAGAGAAGAGTGATGAGTGATGAGTAAGAGAGACATAGAGAGAAGAGAGATGAATGAGAGAGACAGAGAGAGAGATAGAAAGAAAAAAGATGAGCGAGAGAGACAGATAGAGATGAAAGATGAGAGAGATAGAGAAAAGAGAGAGAAAAGAGATGAGAGAAGGGATAGATGAGTGAGAGACACACAGAGAGAGAGAGAGAGAGAAAGACAGACAGACAGACAGACAGACATACAGAAAAGAGTGATGAGTGAGAGAGAGAAAGAGAAGAGAGAGAGGAAGATGAAAAAATAGGTGAAAAGAGATAGACAAAGAGAGAGAGAAAAAAAAAAGAGCGAAAAGAGATACACGAGAAAGAGAGTGAGAGAGATGAGCAAGAGAGCGAGAGAGATAGAGAGAAGAGAGATGGGCGAGAGACACAAAGAGAGAGAGAAAGAGACAGACAGAGAAGTGTGATGAGTGAGAGAGAGAAAGAGAAGAAAGACAGAGACAGAGACAGAGAGATAAGAAGATGAAAAAATGGGTGAAAAGAGAAATGTTCAAAAGAGTAAGACAATGTCGTTTTTTATTTTTTATTTTTTATTTTTGTGATACAAAAATACTGTTGCATTTATTTAAACCATTTTGTGACTATATATATATGAAACCGTCTTAAAGCCACAATATATATATATATATATATAAGCTTTTTTTTTTTTTTTTTTTTTTGCGACTGCAGCTGGTGCCGTCGCAAAAACTCTATTTTTTTGGGACAGCAATCTCTACCGTCGCAAATACTCTATTTTTTTTTTTGCGACAACAATTTCTGTCGTCGCAAATACTCTGCTTTTTCACGACAGCATTTTATATCGTCGCAAATACTCTATTTTTTGCAACGGCAAGTCGTGCCGTCTCAAAAAGTCACATTTTTTGCGACGGCAAGTTGTGCTGTCGCAAAAAGTCATTTTTTGTGACAGCAAATGTGTCGTCGCAAAAAGTTTTGTCTCTTAAGCCCCCTTTTCTTGTAGTAAGTGTTGGTGAATATGAGGACTTCCTCTGTGGCCCTTGGATTTGAGAGAGATGGTGTTAGATCTGAGAGAGATCAACAAAATCGACATGAATGGAGATAGAGTGTGTCAACATTGATGAGTTCCAGAGCTATTGATGAATTCGTTGGTGTTGGTGAACATGAGAATTGTCTCTGTGACCGTTGGATTTGAGAGAGATGATGTTAGATCTGAGAGAGATCAAAAAAATTGACATGAATGAAGATGGGAGTGTCGACATTGACAAGTTCGGAGCTCTGTATTATTTAAACTAACGATAAATTTGTTTAAATCAATGATAAACTAGTGACAAATTTTTTTAAACCAGTGATAAATTTATCATTGATGAATTTGTTAAAAAATTTACAAATAACAGACTTGATTTGAGAGAGAGAAGGGACATCACAACAAATTTATCACTGAATTAAGTAACAAATTTATCAAATCAGTTACACGCCTGTAGAAGATCAACACCACCTTTCAATGCCCTGATCGGACACTTTGCATCCCAAACCGGTGATGGAAGAAGATGGTTGCAGCGACAATGTCGAAGATGGTAGATTGGTAATGGAGGAAGATGGTAGCAATGACGATGTCGAAGTTGGTAGATCAATGATGGAGGATTACGGTGTTAAAGCTAACAGGTGAATAATGAGGGAGGAGTAACGGTGATGGCAGCGAAAGAGAAGGAGATGATGGTTGGTGATGGAGGGAGAGGACGAAATGGTGTGCCAGTGATAGAAATAGGGAGAGAGAGAGAGAGAGAGAGAGAGAGAGAGATGTGTTTGGGTTTAGGATAAAATCGCTCAACTAAATGTAAAGGGTACAAATGGAAGATGGACTAAATTATTTTTGGTCAGGACTTCTTAAGAATTAAGTCCGGTCCAAAGGACTAGCCTATAACTCCCCCTACAATTAATCCAACTAACTAAGTGCCGCTTTGGGATTTTTTTTTTGGTTTGGATTTTTAGGAGTTTTTTTTGGTTAATGTGTTTGGAAAGTGACAAAAATCAATGTAACATTTGACTTTTATCATGTCATTTTTTTTTTTTAATCTCAACTTAAGAGATTGTTTAGACTTAGTAGACTCATTTTGGATCTAATTCTGATAATTTAAACTGTTTATTTTTTTAGATTCGTTGAGTAGCATATTCATGCAAAAAATAAGATAATTAAACATTGATA